CATGACGGCCATGTATGTTTTAAAAGAATGCATGGGAGATAAATTCATGACGGCCATGTATGTTTTAAAAGAATGCATGGGAGATAAATTCATGATGGCCATGTATGTTTTAAAATGTCTTTACTTCTCCTTACACTTGATTGAGCGTTTGAATTGAAAATCATCTTCACTCTGCATTTTAAAGCACTGCCACTGTATTCTAGGTTCCATTGCTGGTGTTGGAAAGACTGGCACCGATCTTATTCTCAGTCCTTTACATGTGACTTGAATCTTTCTCTGGAGCATTATCCCATCTTTACCCTTAGTTTTCTGAAATTTCAAATAATATTTTGGTCTGGGTCTTTTACAAAGTAACTGTACCATTATACAGTAGGCCTTTTCAACCTAGAAATGCAAATCCTTTGGTTCTGGGGGTGTATTCTGCTAGTATTTCTTGACACCTCCACCCTGTCCTCTCCTCTTGCTTGCTTTCTTATCCTACTGGTTAAATATTTGGATACCTAACACCGATGATCTAATTTTCTTATCTTTCTCTTTTCCTTCCTTTTCTGTTTGTTCTCTGCTTGGAGAGGTTCCTTTGACTTTATCTCCCACTTCTTCACTGGCACCTCTGCTCAGTCTCTTAGTGATTCATGTGTCTTTACATTCCCAACGCCTCCTCCTCTAAGTGGCACTCCGTGGCGCATTCGGGCCTCATTTCGCGGCTGCACCACCCTCCTGCGAGCACTGCTTTCTGGACGCTTGGCTCTCTGCGGTGACTCTCTCAGCTCCAGCTCTTTGATCCGTGCGCCTCAGTCTTTCAAAGACTTTGCTCAAACATATGCTGGACCTTGGCTCTCCGCTCACGCTCGACAGCGAGTCACAAAAAGATGAGTGTAAGCCTGAGTATACGGATGGCCTAGGACTGTGCTTCGTAGGCCTCACAGTGGGGCTACTGGACCAGAACTTGCAAAGGTCTGTGTTTACACAGACCTTATATTCTTGGGCCAGCAAATTCTTCCAGGAGGACACGTTCAGTCAGGCTGTCAGTACTCTTGGTGCAGACTTCCACTTAATCCTCCAGTCTTCAACGATGATCCCTGCCACCCCTCTGCTCGGTCTGGCATCCCCAATCTGCCAACATCTTACTGGAACTTTCAGCTGGGAAGATGACATGATGGTTGAGGTTGGGGAAGAGGATTTAAGGTGGATATACTTTTACTCACAAAAATGTTCAATTTAATCTTCTGTTTTCAACTCAACTTCTAATCCAGCCTTAGAGAGTACCTAAGCCTCGAACTGCTGTGTCGCCCTGGGGTTCTGATATAGGTGCTTACCTGTTTTCTGACCTCCTCTCAGCAGGTAATCTCTTGCCTGGTTCTACTCACGGCCGTCGAGTCGAATATGACTCATGGCGACCCCTCCTTGGGTTTCTGAGGGGGTGTTACTACGGAAGTAGACTGCCCAACCTTCAACCTTCAAAAGTTCAGTGACAGCTTTGATTTCTTGTCATCTTTCCTCCCATTCTCTTTGTTCTGTAAGTTTGCACCATTTTTTTAATTCCTTTTTTGTTATTCTGATGGAAAGGAAATGTGTTTTCTCATCTTTTTTCAGCTGAAAACTGAACTACATTCATAAAACCAAGCATTTATCAGATTTTTTCCAACTGCTTATAACTTCTCAGCTTTTTAGCAAAAAGAAATTCCAGCAACTCCTTTAATCTTACCTTTATTAACAAAAGAAGCACAAGAATGCTATGCCAAAAACTGTAAACACTGTGGAGAGAATCAGAGAACACCTAAATAAATGAAAAGGGAGACCGTGTTCAAGGGTTGAAGACTGAAGGCTGGTGGAAAGAGAGGTCTCTGTAAACTCATCTGTGGATCCACTGCAAACCCAATCATTACTGCATCAGACTCTTGTAAAAACTGACAAGCTGATTCTAAAATGTATATGGGAATGTGAAAGGACTAGAATAAATGAAGCTGTTTTTAAAGATAAAAACAAAGAATAAAGCTGGAACTCAAATTTGCATTATTTTAAGCCTTTTTATAAATCCACAGTAATTGAGACAGTGCAGTGTTGCCAAAAGGTACACATATCAATGATGCAGTCTGCAAGGTTCTTAAAAAGCGACACATCCGGAGATCATGTACATTTGGGTATTTCACCAAGATAAACAGGCATGTATTCTGTGCAGCTTTACTATAAAAGCCCAAAACGGGAAACAACGCAGGTGTCCATTAACAGGTTAAATGGATTAGCAAACTGTGCTATCTGCATGCAGTGAACTGCTACCCAGAAGCCACAGGGAGCAGACACTGACGCACAGACAACACGCATGGCTCCCAAATCCATCTGCTGAGTGAAGGCAGGTGGGCAGCAAAGGACACACTATATTATTCTCTTTGTGACAAAATGGTAGAAAGCCCAGCCAGTCTACAGTGACCAAAAGCAGAACAGCAGTTGCCTTGGGGGTTGGGGGTGTATGGTACAAGGACATGTGAACAGACTTCTGAGGATGATGGGAATGTTCGTCGCATACACCAATGGGACCATGTTCTTTAAAAGGTGTCTGAGGATGACGGGAACGTTCGTCATGTACACCAATGGGACCATGTACTTTAAAAGGTGTCTGAGGATGACGGGAACGTTCGTCGCATACTCTAATGGGACTATGTACTTTAAAAGGTGTCACTTGTTACACCTGAGTTATACCTCAAGAATCCGGGGAAGGAGAGCAATGAAACAAGTCACCACCCCATTTCATCACTCAACGATCACCTGCTAAGATGACAGAAAAGGGCACATCTTTGTAAAAAAAATCTATTGTCAACTGACATTCTGTTAGGGAAACACTGGCTCTGATGAAGTCAGTATATACCTGATTGACTCAGAATTCAGGAACTTTCCAAGGAGCTTGTCACTCAGAATAGAAAACCTCATTTTACTCAGTGTTATCCAATCACTGGAGAAGCATAAATTTCATTTTCTTTCTTTAGCACTAGGGTCAAAAACATATTCTTTGTCGCCAAAGAACTACAGATGACTATTGAACCTATCAATCAGATGCTGGTAATTAGGAACAGCTAACTGAAAGCTATTTAAAAGCTCAATCCTCACAATATACCAAAGCCAGTGCTGAGTGGACTCCGACTCACAGTGACCCCAGAGGACAGAGGAGAGCTGCCCCATAAGGTTCAAGGCTGTCATCTTCACAGAAGCAGACTGCTGTATCTTCTCCCACAAAGCAGCCGGTGGGTTTGAACTGCTGACCTTCTGTTTAGCAGCAGAGCCCTAAACCACTATGCTACCAGGGCTCCTTTTCCATGACAGCTCTTAATAAAAAACCACAAGAAAAGCATTCTTAAAGTAGATTGTATTAAGTTACTGCTACATGCAAAGGAGGAGCTGGAAGGATATACATCAAAATGCTAACAGTGGTCATCATCTGACAGGCCAACAATGGGTGAATTTTATTTTCTTCAACTTGTCTTACTATGCGTTCCTCATCTTACAATAAGGAACATACATGGTGTTGGTAACAGAAGGGAGACTCTCCTTTTTCCTACAAATTTCACATGTGTTTTCAGTTCACCAGATTCACAATGATACCGTGGGGAGTAAACTGACGTGGCTGACCTTGACATGCAGCCGTCACCCCACCCCAGCGTGAAGCCCTCGTGGGCTCAGGGCGCTGAGGAGGCAGAGAAGACACTCACCCCAGCGATGCAGTAGTCCCTCGGGCTCTCCTTCTCCAGGCCGTACTTCTCCAAGGCTTCAACCACAGCAAAATCCGCAGTGTCCGTGGTCGACAGGAGGATTGTCTTGTAGGGGATATTGGGTTTTAAACTATCTGCATAAATTCTCAGTGTTCCACCTGGAAAAACATTTTGACATTTTGAGCACAAGTTTATTTTACACCAGTAACAGTAGGAACTAGCATTTACAACCCCTTCAGAAAAGGGCGGGTGCGTTTCCACGGCAGGAAGTGCAAGGATGCAATCAGTGCGGTAACTGTTCCTTGTTTCCTGACAGAAAGAGGACACTTACCAGTGACTCTGCTTCAGAACAGCCTCGGACTGCTCCAGGCCTCCAAGCTCAGGGACACACGCGTTTACAGTGCAGGCGAGAACAGACAACAGAAGCAACTCCACACTGTCTGCTATCACTGCTCCCACCCCAACTGTGCTTTTCCATTTCCTTATCAACACATTTTTCTACAGTTATTTTCCCATTTATTTCAACTTCTTGATCATCAACACAAGATGGAAACTTTAAATCCAGGTAACCTTAAACATTAACTAGATTAAATAAGTCAATTTGAAAAAAGCAGACTAGGAGGCAGGCACTTTCAAAGAATTTCTATAAGGTGTTTGCCCGCAAGCCCAGGGCTCAGCTATCTCCCAGCTGCCAACTGGCATGTCACTTCTCCCAGTGACTCATTGGGGACAGCCACTGGTACTATCGTGGGAAGCCTGAGGAGCCCCTGCTATTGGTAGGCCACTTTCAACGGATTGTACGTTACTGTGCTACCATCCCCTTGGATGGCATGTCTGCCTTCCGCTTAAGGTGTAAGGTTTACAAGCCTAGAAACCTTGAGTCTACAGAGAAGGGCAGAGGGAGGACTCTGACATAGCTCTAAGTCTCTCCCAACCCTGGTCAACTTCCCACCCTCTGCAGCCCTCAGTCTTCTCACAAGAGCTAGGTTTGAATCCCTGAAAGAAGCCCCTAATACCCAAGGCCTCTCTACTCTATTCTAATCTAAAGCACTTCTAAGTACTGAGTATGTGTCACAGTCTCTTTTCAAAGAAACAAGTGTGGCACAAACAGCTTTCTGAGAGCTTAGAGCTTACCTTGCAGAAATGAGCTCTGGCAGCATAGCGCCTAAGGCACTTGACTGCTAACCAGAAGGCTGGCAGTTCAAACCAGCCACTCCTCGGAAGGAAGGCCGGGCAATCTACTACTTCTGTAGTAATACTGCCTTGGGAACCCAAGGAGGGGCCGCTATGAGTCGGGGCCAACTTGATGGCACATAACAACAACAACAACAACTACCTTGCAGTAACAGGAGCTCTGGTGGCATAGTAGTTAAAACAACCCACTATTAACCAACAGGTTGGATTCAAACCCGCCAGCCACTCCCCATAAGAAAGATGAAGCAGTCGGCTTCCATAAAGATTACAGGCTAGAAGACCCTGTGGGCAGTTCCCCTCTGTCTTCTATGGGTGCTGTGAGTCAGAATGGACTCCAAGGCAGTGAGTATGGCTTGGGTTTTCCTTCCAGGAAGACTGACAGCCTTGGAGACCCTGTGGAGGCAGTTCCACTCTGTCCTCAGGCTGCATCTGCCCCAAGCCACCACTTTTTAGGTGGAGAAGAGTAAAAACAAAACAAACAAACAAATCATTTCAGATGGTGGTACAAGCTACCACGACTTCCTACGTGGTCAGGAAGAAGCAAGCTCAGAGAACACAGAGACCTTCCTCAGAACTGAGACCTGAAAGGTAAGAAAGAGGCAGGGAAGGACTGTGTTCCATGTCAGTCCTCAGCAAAGGGGTTCATGGGTCAGGGTGGACAGAGTGAAACGACAAGAGGAGTCCCCCTCTGAGAAGCTGGCAGGACTTAGATCAGGTGGGGCAAGAGCAGGGAGGCACTTCAAAGAACTTCACTTTTGTTGTTGTCATCAGGTGCCCTGAGTGCACCACAGACAAGAAAACCAAACCCTGCCCGGGGCTGTGCCATCTTTCACAATCCACTGTGCGTGAGCCCATCGCTGCAGCCACTGTGTCCATCCATCTCGTTGATTTCCCGTTTCACTGACCCTCTACTTTACCAAGCATGACAGCCTTCTCCAGAGAATGGTCCCCTCTGACAACACAACCAAACTATGAGAGACAAAGTCTGCCCATTCTCACTTCTAAGGAGCATCCTGGCTATACTTCTTCAAAGACAGATTTGTTCCTTCTTCTGGAAGTCCATGGTATTTTCAGTATTCTTTGACAACACCACAATTCAGAGGTATCAACTCTTCTTCAGTTCTTCAACCCTTATTCACTATCCAGCTTTCACATGCATAAGTGGTAACCGAAAATACCATGGCTTGGGTGAGGCGCCCCTTAATCTTCAAAGTGACATCTTTGTTCTTCAGCACTTTAAAGAGGTCTTTTGCAGCAGATTTGCCCAGTGCAACATGGCTTCTGATTTCCTGACAGCTGCTCCATGGACACTGATGGTCGATCCAAGTAAAATGAAATCCTTGACAACTTCAATTTTGTCTCCATTTATTGTGACGGTGCTTATCAGTCCAGTTGTGAGGCTTTTCATCTTCTTTATGTTGAGGGGCAATCCATACTGAAGAATGATGTAGTCTTTGACCTTCACCAGTAAGTGCTTCAAATCTTCTTCCCTTTCAGCAAGCAAGGTTGTGTCATCTGCATATCGCAGGCTGTTAATGAGTCTTCCTCCAATCCTGATGCCACGTTCTTCTTCATACAGTCCAGCTTCTCCGTTTATTTGCTTGGCATACAGGTCAAACAAGTATGGTATAAAGGATACAACCTTGAGGCACACCCTTCCTGATTTTAAACCATACAGTATCCCCTTGCTCTGCTTATGTGGCTGCCTTTTGAGCTGAGTACAGGTTCCTCATGAGCACAATTAAGTATTCTGGAACTCCCATTCTTCTCAAGTTATCAACAATTTATTATGATCCACACAGTTGTATGATCCACACAGTTGAATGTCTCTCCATAATCAATAAAACACAGGCAAACATCTTTTGGTTATTCTCTGCTTTCAGCCAATATCCATCTGACATCAGCAAGGATTTTTCCACATCCCTCGTTCCACATCCTGTGTTGAATCCAGCTTAAATTTCTGGAAGCTGCTTATTAATACACTGTTACAACCCTTTTTCAATTAATTATCTTCAACAAAATTTTACTTGTGTGTGACATTAATGATAAACCAAAAACCAAACTCACTGCCCTCGAGTCGATTCCGCCTCACAGTGACCCTCCTTGGGTTTCTGAGGCGGTATCTCTATGGAAATAGATTGCTCATTCTTCCTTCTGAGGAGTGGCTGGTGGGTTTGAACTGCCAGCTTTCTGGTAGCACTCAAACGCCTTAGGGACTATGCCACCAGAGCTCCCCAATATTAATGATATTGTTGATATTGTCCAATAATTCCCACATTGTTGGATCATCTTTCTTTGGAATAGGCAGGCACAGATATGGAAAAATGCATGTTGTTGTTGTTGTTTGCCATCTAGTCGGACTCGACTCATAGCAACCCCTCCTTGGGTTTCCAAGGCAGTATCACTACGGAAGTAGATTGCCCCATCTTCCTTCCGAGGAGCGGATGATGGGTTTGAACCACCAGCCTTCTGGTAAGCAGTCAAGTGCCTAGGCACTATGCTACCAGAGCTCCCTGGAAAAACGCATAGGCGACAGAAAATACAAAGAGTTAGAAAGCTAGTTTTTCCTAAAAGAATTTATATCTGCTAAATAAATGGCAGGCAAGCAGTTGAGATCCCAAAGTTGTAGACCACAGACTATGAGACACAATTTTGGCCTAAAAAGACTTAAATACAGAGTTTATCAGAAAGTGCCCCAAAATGCACAAACAGCAAAAGATAAGTTAGATGAATGGGACCTTCTGAAAATTAAATTTTTATGTGCTTCCAAAGACTTCTCCAAAAGAGTCAAAAAAGAACCTACAGATTGGGAAAAAAATATTTGGGAATGACACATCTGACAAGGGACTTATTTCTAGAATTTATAGAAAACTCCAACACTTCAACAACAAAAAGATTAACAATCAAATTAAAAATTGGGCAGAAGACATTAATAGACCCTTCACTAAAGAGGATATTCAGGCAGCCAACAAACATATAAAGAAATGCTCATGATCATTAGCCACTAGAGAGATACTCAGAACAAGGAGGTACCCCCAGCACTAGTACCAAAGTTCAACAAGACAGAAAATCATAAACGCTGGCGAGGATGTGGAGAGACTGGGGCTCTCCAACACTGTTGGTGGCACTGTAAACTAATACAACCACTGTGGAAAACAGTATGGAGATTCCTTAAAAAGTTGGAATTAGAAACACCATTTGACCCAGCCATTCCATTGCTAGGTATATATCCTAAAGAAGCGAGAGCCATGACAAGAACAGACATATGCACAACCATGTTCATCACAGCACTATTTACAATAGCCAAAAGATGGAAACAACTTTTGTGTCCATCAACTGAGGAATGGATAACCAAACTATGGTACATACACACAATGGAATACTATGCAACCCTAAAGAATAACCTAGAATCTGCAAAACACCACATAACATGGATGAACTTGGAGGACATTATGCTGAGTGAAATAAGTCAATCACAGAAGGACAAATATTGTAT